CTCGGGGCTCCCTGTGCGTAGGGCTGGTTCCTCCTGCCGGCAGTCCGGTTGGGGGGTACGGCGTGCTGCTGAGTTGGCCGCAGGGTTTGGGAGGAGGGTGTGAGTAAATTGGCCGTGAATTAGCGGAAGCATATTCCGTGGCCGTGAACCTGGAAGCATAAAGTTCGTACTAGTTTGGGCTGTTCTGGTCCAAACTGTTCTAGTCCTTTTCTATTCTGAAGAGGAAGCACTTGTTTCTGTACGAGATAAATGATTTGTCTTCCTTTCTCTCTTAATTAACTCTGCCTTAGCCTGCCTTTGTTGCTTCAAATTGGTGTTACAGCTCAGCTTTGCCTCCAAAGAAATAAAAGTTCACATAAGTGCACTGCTCACAGCTCCAACCAGCCTTCTGCCACCTCCCCAGACTGTCCCCCCCCCCCCCCCCCCACACCGCCCCCCCCCCCCCCATTTTAAATCTTAAATCTTCCTGACCAGCACCACCCACGCAGCACCCAAATCTGAGTTTAAGAAAGGGGACATCCAGTTGATTCGCCTGACAGAAATGCCACTGGATGAGTTTGGCAGTGTTATTAGACACCAGAGAGCTGAGGGAGGCACGGTTGGAGGCGTTATTGCATTCCCACGAAAAGCGTCGTTTGCGACTCTCATCTCGCCACGTCTGGCTACTCAAGCCATGAAACACAAAGTCATAGGAAGCCAGGCTTAATAAGTTCTGCTGCTGCTCAGAGAAGTGCTTGTCAAGTACTTGAAAGATGCTCAGATGCAGTTGTGAGACAGGAAAAAACAGAGAGGGACTTCATTGCATTAGTTTCCAAATAGCTTTTCTAAAACTTAAATGTCTGGAAAAAGTCAAGTTTTAAGTCCTCTAGTGGGGCTCTTTGTAGTCATATACGTTCATACATGAGTCCAGTGATAAGGTCTAATCTTGCTTCAGTGTTCTGGGAAAATATGCATATACTAAAGGATATGAAACATGCATAATAAACACAAAAAAAGAAACATACTGTCTAACTTCTAAGAATTACATCTTTTATAGTACAAAATATCCAAAAATGTGAATTTGTTAGCATCTCTTTATTGGTAAAGCCCATATAAGTGACTTTAACTGAGAAATGGGTGAAGAAAAGGAGAGGGCGTGTATCTGCAGAGTGCTGCTGATACCTGCATTTCACCTTTCATTTTCAAAATAATTCCAAAAGCAGCTGATGACAAGGGATGTGAGTTCAAGAAATACTTTCAAAGAGCTGTTCCACCCAAGTTCATGTTATTTATCTAGTCTAACCTGTGACTCCTTTTTGGAGCTGTTTATTTGAGGTTTTGTTGGGTTGGTTGGTTTGGGGGTTTTTGTGTTTCTTTGTTTGAGATGAAGAAGACTTAAATATTGGCAGGATGGGGAAACAATGCACTCCCATCGCCTAAGTTAATTTTTGGGAGCTTTCCTCTGCACAACTGCAAGTGATTACATCTTTCACCCCGTAGCCTTTGAGATGTTGGAGGGTTCCATGGGAATATGGAGAAAATGGAAGTGAGCTCAGATGCTACGAGGACTAGCATTGCCCATCAAAGCAGTGTTTTGTGCACTCTGTTGCACTTGGTCATAGTAGCTGCCTGCTTGGCATTGATCACATTACTCTAGATTATTAAATGTAGGAGTCTCAGAAAATAGCACACATGGAGGTCTTGCTTCTTGAAGTGTTAAGTCTTGCAAAATAAATCCTCCAGTCAGATGCTACAGAAAGTTTCTAAAGCAATGTTTTTCTCGAAAGGAGAAAGAAGTATCACTTCAGTGAGCAGATCTACAGTCAGTACTTCTTCAGTCCCGTCCTGGTTTAGTGATAGTAACCATTATGTCCTTTTGGGTGAAGAGGAGAAGTGAGTTTGATGCTCTTTGGATCATGCCTCAGGGACCCAATTATATGAAACACTGAGCAACCTCAAGTCCCACGGAAATCAGTCTGAGGTTGAAGTACTAGATGTTTTGTGTGATCGGATGCCAGCATCATTAACTGAATGCCACGTGCAGATCTGGGTTTGGTCTCTTTGTATCATTGCTGCTAATGGCAGTCAAATAAAAGGCAAATGGTACAAAATCCATTTTGAGGTTCTCTATTTTTATCATCAAAATGACCCAAAACGGTCTTAGCTTGCCTTCCAGTCCCTGCATTGGGTTTAAAGAATTAGCAGCAAAGAAAACTCGTGCTGCTCTTTCTATAAAGTGGATACGTTTGCTTCTGATTCATGCAAGCATAAATTTCCTGTGATACTTTCAGTCTTTTGTCAGAGGTGGGCAAAACTGTTGAACTCAGAGCTTATTTAGGCAGCTTACTTTAATCTGTATTTTTTGAAAAAGTTACTGTTTTGGGTAAATTGGAGAGCTCTTAATTTTTGAGTGGATGCTGCAGCATGAAGTGCATGATGTATTATACCTGTATTTAAATTATCCACACCACCCTCTCTGTTAATTACTTATGTTTCCTGATTCTGTAGAGTGTAACATACCTCCTTGAGTCTTTGTTTTCTACCGACCTGAACCAGAATACAGATCCATCAAACAGCATGTTCTGAGCACGTTGTAAATATTTCAAGCCTCAGCCCCATAGACACACCTTAGTTCTTGAGTAGACCTATTAGACTCGAACTGTTGTATGAAACCTGCTCAGTTTAGGATCATGAATGTTACTTTTCTATGATGAGTTCTGCTCCATAGTTCTCACCAAGCAGCACAATGACGTGTAGTGATTTTAAAATAAGATAGTGTTTAAAACCGTGAGAACATTGTTTTGCAACGTTTTTCATGACATCACCCCAGTGAGATGGTGGGTCTATAGTGCAACGGTTTCTCTTCAACCCTGAGGTTAGTTCTTTGAGCTAACACTTTTCATTCTGTATTTGCACATCTTTTGCACAGTAGACCCCTTGCCTATGGCTGAGGTTTGCCATAAATTAATGCGTGTGCTTTTGCAGTGGAATAAACAGGTTACTTTTTAGAGGAAAACAAAACACATCACAAAGGTAAATTATCACTGAACTGCTATAGAAGAAGCTGCTCCTGGAGAAGCAGATGATCACGTTCTCTGCCTTCATTAAAAGTAGGTACAGACCTACTCTCGTGTACCTGCATCCTGCTGGGGTCAAGTACACAGTTTACTCGTCCAACTTGCGGGTTTTTTTCAGCAATGCTTTAAGAGAATGTCAGGAAGTTACAATTCAGAAAACTAGGAATGAAATTATTTTTTTCTAACAATGGCCAATGAGAAATATTAAGCATAATAGTATGTTTTGTATGACAATTCTAAAACTGAATGATTTTTTTCTTTCCTATTTAAAGGAAGAGCCAAGGCTGGATGTTCTGATAAATAATGCAGGGATATTCCAGTGTCCGTACATGAAGACAGAGGATGGTTTTGAGATGCAATTTGGTGTAAACCACTTGGGTCACTTCTTGCTCACCAACCTTCTTCTGGGCCTCCTCAAAAATTCTGCTCCGAGCAGGATTGTGGTAGTATCCTCAAAGCTTTACAAATATGGAGAGATCAACTTTGAAGACTTGAACAGTGAAATAAGTTACAATAAAAGCTTTTGTTACAGTCGGAGTAAACTGGCTAACATATTATTTGCAAGGGAGCTAGCCCGTCGGTTAGAGGGGACAGGAGTCACCGTCAATTCACTTCATCCTGGGATTGTCAGAACAAATCTAGGCAGATACGTGAATATTCCTTTGCTGGCAAAACCCCTGTTCAACTTGGTGTCATGGGCTTTCTTCAAAACACCTCTGGAAGGAGCCCAGACTTCTATTTATTTGGCCTCTTCTCCTGATGTCGAAGGCGTGTCAGGAAAATATTTTGGGGACTGCAAAGAGGAGGAACTCCTGCCCAAAGCCATGGATGACTTGGTTGCGAGAAAGTTGTGGGATATCAGTGAAGTGATGGTTGGTTTATTGAAATAAGTGCCAGGGGGTATCTGCTAAAGGAATGCAGATAACTATGCAATACGTATTTGCAACAGTGTAATTCTCACTGTAAATGCTGTGGGAGTACAGATTACTTTGCTCAATAAGTATTAAATAAGAGGAGTGATTTATGCTGGAACTCTGTTTTGAAATAAAGGACAATATTTAATAGACACAGGCGTTCAGAAAAAGTCTGAAATAGAGTTTGAGGGTGTGAATATAATTTCTGGTTAAATCTGCTTGGAAACTCATGTTTTACAAATAAAAATTAAACAAAACTGTGTTTTGCAATATATGTGCATATTTGTCATGTTCCACTACTTGTAGTTGGGCTGGACAACGCAGGGTACTGATGGTGAAACACTTCTCCTGTAAAAAGGTTTTGAAAATAGATCCTAATAATAATAATAGGATTGTTGTCTTTTTTGAGCCATCACGATGAAAAATGGAATAAACGGTTTTACTGATATCTTACACTGTAATTGTTTAGGCCTCTCAGTGCCATTCAAAGACTTGTTGTCAGCCGCATGGTTCAGTGAACAAAACTGTTCAGCCGTATACAGTTTAGCTGTGAAGCACAAAGTCAACTTTTTTTAGTGATGTCGCTGCTATTCAATGAGTGTATACACTTGGTTGTGCAAGCTGTATTTTTATTTTCCTGTGTGCTGAACTTGCTATTTCATGATATGCAGACACCTTGGGTTTCAATAAAAACATAGTTGACAGATGTATTATGGTCTTGATAGGGCTTCGCATGTCACGATTTGTGCGCATACAAAGTTCACAAGACCTCACCCAGATTAGACCGAAGAGAATATGCTTTTCAGTGTGTGTGTGGCTTGACTGATGGCACTTTAACTCAGTAATGAGATTAGATAAGTCTGTCTAATACAGCTTACTGAATATTCTTTAATAAAAATCTTTCAAAAAAAAGACTTAGCATTCATTCTTTCACTGTGGAAGATGCATCAGAAACCAGCAGTCTTGACACAGCAGCCTTGTTTGAAAGCAGAAGATTCTCCTGGCTGGTGTAGGGAGCCTGTCATGTAGGGTTGGTAGAAATAAAATGGGCTCCAAATAAATACATGGGTATTCTGTGAAGCTGTACTGATTTATTCTTTTTTAATTCATATAACTAATGGGTTCATATTGACATTTATTACTTCTTGTTTTGCTCTTTTGCTCTACTGTAATAAAATGTTCTAGCAGTTAAGTCAAGATGTATAGAATAAATACGGAAGAATGATTTAGAGTGATCTATCTTAATAAGTTCTACTCAAGGGGAGGAGTATCAATAATGAATGGTGTATTCAGTAGATCCTTATTACCTACTCATAAATACATATTAGTTCTGCACTTCAGGTAGCAACCAACCAAATTTTTGAGATTCTTTCTCTTGTCGTTTACTCAGACTCTCAGCATATTTCAACTTTTGCACGGTGGAGTGGACCTGATCTAGCCTTACCCTTCACCAGCAAGATTGTGCTCTGGGTGAGTGACTTGGGTGGGGGCAGAAGGCGGCATTCCAGAAAGTTAGAAGGCAAGCTACGAAACGGAGCGAGTTTTTAAGATCTTTGCACTGCTCACTGTAAGGGAAGGTGTAGAGATGGGCGTGTTGTCAAGGCATACTCTGAGCATTGAACAAAGTTCTCTAGGTAATGCCAGAGGGAGGTGTGTAACATGCTTGGAGAAGATTCTGCTTTGATCTTCAGTGTTGCATTTCACATTTCATTCTAAATACTTGTAAATAGCTGCACGCAGCACCTTTAAACAGCTAGCTAAAGAATTAGAAGTTCATTAACATGAACTTCTCTGTAAAGAGATACCGAGAAGCTGAGCCAAACTCGGGTTTGTGTTTTCAATACTACTGTAGCAATACTGAAGGAACACTACTGTATTGTTTCGCTGCTGAAACGTGTATACCTCTTGCAAAGAAAGCCTTGCATGCAAAGGTGGAGAATGGAGAAGATGGCTAATCTGAAAATACTGTAGTAAAGAACTGCACTGAAACTGTCTGAAGAGCGGAGGAATATGTAATTTTTCAGACTGAATTACCAACATAGGATGTGCACTAGCCTTCAAAACAGCAAAGGTGGATTTGTACTGAAATAAGAGATGCAGAATTAAGAAGTACCAGTTGTGTAGTATGGCTGCATAACATGTAATGCTTCATACGTCTACCAGGTGCTTGGTTTTTATTTTCTTTTGAAACACTGCAGAAATAAGAGCCATTGTCAGGAAGGGATTACGTTCCTGCAATTGTAACTAAATTACAGCCCTCATTCCAGGGTAGGAGAGCGATCACATGATACTCTTAATGGAATATTATGTGCCTGAATGAATATTGCCTGAAAACAATTTGAAAGGATGGATTGTTAGGAACTCGCCAAAAGATAAGCTTTTTCCAACATATGAGGCTGAATGTAGTTTAGCCTCTGTGGACCAGAAAGCTTTGATTACTCTCTTGAGATTGCTGTTAATATTTGTTTATGTGATGCCTTTGTTATTCTAGTAGCATCTAGGAACTGGAGACCTCATAGGTTAACAGATCTTGCAAAATATAAGTGCAAAACCAAAGAAGAGCCCTTATTTCAACAAGCAGTTAGTAATGCTGACTCAGTCTAGGTTAGAACCAAGCATTTTGGCTAAGGAAGTATATCTACTCTACTCTACAGGATCTTAGTAAGCTCAGATATATATGTATGATTTGAGGATTGTCTGCTGGATGTCTCCTCTGGGAGCTGGTAGAGGATGCTCTAAGAGGAGATCAGCACCTTCACGCTTCACCCCAGTATTACTGTGCCTCCAGAAAGATCTGGCAAGCTCTGGATGTTACTATTCTATAAACCATTTATGTCGAGAGCGTGCAGCCAAAAACAGGACGCATTCCGGATGCCTCCCTCCACCATCACCACCATATGGACACTGCCACCCTCAAATTAAACTTATTTCCCATGAAGTATTAAACTTGTAAAAGGAAAAAGTAAGGGCTGAAAGAGGCAGACAGTGACCAGGGATAGCACGTAAAGCCCATGGAAAGGCAGCTTTCATGGGTAGGTACAGAGGCTGATCGCATTGCTAGCAAATGCATTACAGATATGCAAGGAAGCCACAGCTGAGGTTAAGATTTTGTTGAGGTCTGTGATAAACATAAATGTTACGAAGCAACTCCTTCAAAAGGCAAAACATACATATTTATCTTACATAAATTATTAGAATTTGAGCATTTGATTTTTGGTCCACCAGCAGTGTTGTACCAGTGCTCCGTACCTGTGCCCTGGGGATTTAGAAACTGGCTAGGATGTGTACAGGGCACAGCGATGCCTGAGAACATAGCCCCTGCCCTTTTGCTTTTCACAGGGGAAATGCCTCTTCACTGCCATAGCTGAGATGTGGAGGGCCACAGCAGTGACTAAATTTGACTATTTGCAAACTTCCCACCCTTAGGCCAGTCTCAGCAGTGAATAGAAATGCTTCCAAGTGGCCCCATTTCTCAGTGATCAAATTTTGTATGCAACAACATTGGAGACTAACTGTACGCTAAAAGGGTTATTTTAAAATAAGGGTATGAGAGTGTGTGTGTGCAGATACGTGTGCAGTTGCAATTTAATCCCTTATTTTAAAAGACCGACAGGGAGAGCTGTCAAGGATTTACGGAGGGACTGAGGGGAGAGGAGGGCGGGTTAGTACGAGAGTGTCACCTGCTGCCCGCACCGGTTTGGTACGTGATGAGGCGCTGGGCTTGGGGGCTGATCTGTTGGGCTTGAGCTCAGTGTTGAGCTTGGTTGCTTGAAGTTGCATCCAGGTAGACATACCCACTGTCTGCTTCTGCAGCCGGAGAGCACACAGGCACAGCCGAGGGGAGGAAACGTCTCCACGTAATGGTCGAGAGAAACAGGCTTCAAGTGTCTCAAGGGGAACGTATTTTAACTGCTTCAGCATAATTTATTCATCTTTGGCCGTGGTGTTTTTGAAAGTGCCCATGTAACCAACTTCCCTCATGGAGAGAGTTTAAGAAAGAAATAATTTCCTTTTTTTAAAATTAATTTCTTTCTTTTGATTCTCAGTCCCAGTCCCTAGCTATAAGCCAGTCCTCCCTGCACACGTGTAGCTATTATAGCTGAGGTTTCTGCAAGTGAACTAAATTGCAGTTGCATGTATTTATTTTATATGCCACATCTGTTTAAGTCAAGAGAGGCGTATGTACATTTTTAAAAAAAATACTCTGGATCTGTCACCAATTTACCTTCCTTACCTTGCCACAAAGGCCAACATCTATCCCCAGGCAAAGGGACAACGCTGCTCTTTCAGTTACTACAGTCAACGCAGCAGGAAAGCTTATAAACCCAGCGGGGGTTCTCCAGTAAAAATTCTCCATCTTAATGAGATAAATGATCAGTTTTTCCACGATGCAATAAAAACAGAAATATTTAAACTCTCCTCTCTTTCTTCAGCAGTTGCCTGGTTTGCCTAAGCTTCCTACTAAGTGAATGCTTCACAGGCTTCAAAGGCTGAGCCCTGTGGATGTGCGGTGTGATTATGTTTTTGCTGAAAAATGTGGATAATTCCCACTTCAAGCACACTTAATTTCTTTCCACATAAGGCTATAAAGAAAATAAACAACTTGCAAGAGTCATACAAATAATTTTAAAATGGGAGGCCTGTTCCCTTTTTCACATAACTTTTTCCAAACTAATCACTTAGAGGGTAATTGACTTGCAAAACGATCCAGGAGGCCTCCACAGTTGAATTATTATTTTTGATCTGTCCCAGAATGGTGCTGCTATTTCTCATAACAGAAAACAGCGACCTCCCTCTAGACTTTTTACTTACCGCTTTAGCTACCACTAGCAGCCTCACACCTGTCGTAACTGGATTCAGATCAGAGAAATTAATTTGAATATTTCATTGATTCCAAATGTCCTATGTAACCTGGAGAAAGAAGTGCTTTCCTAATTGCTTTTTTGGCTGAAGGCTGGCACACTGACCACCTAACAAGGTTGATAGCCCTTTCTTTCCACATTTAAGAATGGTCATTTCTTTTCAGGTAATGCAAAAGAAATTTAATTAATCTCGGTAGGGAAGGAATCGATAGCTTATTTGCCATGAAAGATTCAGGAGGGTGTCACAAGCTTAAAATCTATAATATTCAGTTTTGCAAGGCACTGAGCATTTCTTTCCATCTGCTTCATGGCCAAAGCAAGCAGTCTGAAATCCTGGTCCCACTAAAAGCATTGGGAGTCAGACACCTAAATATTTTTGCTGATCCTGATCTCCTGGCTTTAGGTTTGGGCAGTAGGACTCTTACAGCCAGTTGGATGATGATTCTTTCAAGCTTGATGAATGAGGCTTTATGCACTTCTGTGTATGTGTGGCATTTTTAAAAAAAATACTTCACAAATTAAGGGGTGTGTGTGTGTGTGTGTGTGTGCTATGTATATTTTAAATATCCTGCAACATTCTCCAGAAATCTGTGTGTTTTTTTCCAAGAAAAATGTCAGCCCATCTCTGCAGTTGTTGGGGTGTTTGTCAGTTTGCCACCTGGACTGCAGATTGGTGATGAGTGATGTTATTTCAGTTTATCTAAGTCCTGTTGCAACCTTCCCCAGCAGTAGGTCAGTGTCCTGGGCCCCTCCTAAGTCACCACATGACCATCCGCTCTCCAAATCCCATCTGCCCTTGAGACAAGGAATGTCAGGGTCTTTCTAGATGCTTCAAGAAAGGGGTCATG